AACACTATGGTTTAACCACAAAGGGCAAATTTTGTTTATTTCTTAATTATTAATTTTTTTTGTTATTTCACAAATTAACCTTTTTTAGTAACTAAACAAAAAAGGAACATTTAATCTGTTTCATTATAAGAATTTTTTTTCCACCATATTCACTATAAAAAAAATATTCATTTTTCTTCACCATATTTATAGTCGATGTTAAAGTTTAACAATCTGTACCAACATATAATATTTACAATAATTGTTATACTTAGATAAACAAACCTTAAAATATTGAAATCTTTTAAATTTAACAGAGTACATATTTTTCCATTCATATGAATTAGATTTCGATGATAACGAATGAAAGAAATATCATGAATAACAATATCAGTTCATCAATAATTTAATAGTAAAACATAGGAAGATCTTGTATCTACACCGTTTGTTTTTTTATTTGATTTTCTAAAATACAATACGAAAGCGAAACTAAACAGTCAAAGTCAAATCTTTTTTTTAGCTAAAGCTTTTAATCGTATAATTAATATTAAGTATTTGTTTAGTTTAAATATTTGTTTTAATATTTAGAGTATCCTTATTACCCGATAAAATTATCTTTTTGGTGTCGGTATAAAAAAAATTTCCTCATGTTTAGCTATAGAAGAAACCCCAAATTTAAAACCACTTGCCATTCCAATCGAGATTCAACAATGCACTTTTCAYGCAAAAAAAGTGAAATTGGTTGACGTTGCATATTAAAACTCATTCAAGCTCGATTTGAATGCATCATTATATTCTGTTAAAAGACAACCATTCGCGTATATAACTTCGAATAGGTAAATCAATCATTTGTCTTTGGAGATCTGACGAACTATTGCTGAATCTATGGATCTGAAAGAGATAACCCGACTAACTGAAACATTTTAGTAAAAGCGACGAGCAAAATGGAAACAGCCTAAATTTTGAAACGAAATGGGACAACAATAAAAGAGTTGTACTGCTAGGCGAAGAGGTAGAGTGATGATGAAGTTTATCTCCCACCGTCTCACTATACGGCATTGACCCCCGTTATATCTAGTATTCATAGTTTGGTTCCATTTAATATCGCTCTCGCAGCCTACACCAAAACAGAACTTTATTCCTAGATGTCGAGCCAATTATTGCGCCTTGACGCATTTAAGAGAACCAACTAGCTGTGGGTTCTAGTGGCATTTCACCCTTAACAAGTAATTTTGTTGGTTGGTTAATTGATCACATTTTATTCATCAAATATGTTGGATTCATATTAGTGTAGATATAGCAAACAAGTTTTATTAGGTCTAATGTACTTGTCAGATCTATTAAGTATATAAGTTCATTGTGTCAAAACTGAAAAATTCAAATTCTGAAATTGTATTTAAAAATTATATACAGTATATAGTATATAGATGATTATGAGTTGTCAGCTTATTTTTCTTCATGCACGCGGTCAGAGTTCAAGGCTTTTTCCACTAACTGAGAACTTACTGTTTTATGTTCTAAAATATTTGCAAGTTGATAACGTAAAATATACAATATTTTCAAGTAATTAATTTTTTTTTTTTGAAACTATTAACTTTTATTTAATC